AGAGGAATGCTGAAAATACTAGTGAATAACTTTTATCTTTACCAAATGATTATCAAGTTACTGATGTTTACACATTCTGTGTGCCAGGACCTCCCTTCCTCACTTTCTGTATCATGTCCTTAGCTCTCACTTCCCCCAAAGATATTCCCTGTCTAAGGAATCACAGTGTTTCCTAATGCCTTCAGAGTTGATAGATCTTGTCTTAATGTTTTGGAACATAAAAGATGTGTAAACTTCTTGGCATGAAGACCCTGTCTTGCTAGTGTAGCAACACAGGGATGAGGATGAAAAGTGGACAACATTACTGATGCATCCACCCACATCTTTTGTCACCCTGTGATCTCAGGCTTTACAGAGACTGAATGGGCATTTTACTAATAGATACTCTTAAAATTTGATCTCCACCTATATTGTCTCATATCTAAGAAGACAGAAAGCACAACAAATTTGGCTTGCTTTTTTCTTTTTTAAAAAAAGTATGTGGTGTATATGAAAAGTTTATGTGTCTCAAAAACACTTTTAAAAATGCACCCGGGATTTCCTTTTATTTTTTGGTGGTACTGGGGTTTGAACTCAGGGCCTCGTGCTTACTAGGCAGGTACTCTACCTCTATGAGCACCTCTGTCAACTGGAATTCCTTTTAATACTAATTACTTCTACTGTTCTTAAAATGATTTACTTTTCAGAAATTTCATTTTTCCATACAACTCTGTTGAAGCTGGAACAACTATTTAGGGATTGAAGTTGACATATTTCAGAATCTCCTCTTGTTGTGCTGTATTTCTGCCACTGAGTAGATTTCTTTTTCTCTTTCCTTGCATCAAGTTTCACAAAACACTTAGATGCAATTTCAAGGATTAATATCTAAGGATTATATAAAATATCTACTGTCCTGAAAATGGTTTAATTTGTATTTTATTTCATCCTTTCAGTTCTGAGTTAGGTAATGTCAGTGGTAGAAATTCCATTTTATAGTTGAGGAGCAGTTTTGTGTGTGTGTGTGTGTGTGTGTGTGTGTGTGTGTGTGTGTGTGTGTGTGTGTTTGTAATCTCACAGTCAATGACTGACAGCTTTGTTGAAGAGACCTACCTACTGCCATTATTGTCTCTTTGGGATAAGCTCAGTCCACAGTGAATGAGTTATGGACTTGAATTAAGGAGGCAGCTAATGTTTCTCACACTGTCTCTGAGGACTGTACCCAAGAAACATTTTTAGTTTCCTGGTGAACACTATGTAAATGTGCAAGGGAGATCTGGAAGCAGATAGTCTCATAGTTCTTTCTCCACCTGAGTGAGTCCATCTAGGGGTATGTTAAAAATAAAAAGAGTTAAGGCTGGTGGAGTGGCTGAAGTGGTAGAGTGCCTGCCTAGCAAATTTGAGACCCTGAGTTAAAACCCCAATACCACCACCACCACCACCAAAAAAAAAAAAAAAAAGCCAGTCTGTGGTGCTGTGTTGGAGAGGGAAGAAGCTCAGACTCATCCTTTCCCATTTTTATTAATGTGTAACAAATCTGCTCCCTCCATATGCATGTCTTACCTCTAATATGCTTCTACATTTTTAGCACCTTTCCTAATCGAAGTATTCTTGGTGAGAACAAAGAGGAACTATGTTTAGGGTGACAGATACTTTCAGATTAAAAAAAACCAGTGGTTCTTAAGGTCAGGGAGAAATGTGTATGTACTTTTAAAAAGTTCCCTAAATTTTCCATCATTCCCACTAGTTGAAAAATGATGCATTAAAACCCACCTTTTACTAGATACAGTTAAAATGTGATAGTGGCAAATGTGAATTCAGGTAACTAGATGGGTCCCATCTAGTATTCTAAGGGAAAGATCTTTGGGAAGTATAGATAGAACCATGATGTTACAAAACCTTTTGGGGTTCTCACTTTATCCAGGAGGCGTTCTTGTTCAAACAGTATGAGTTTCCTACCCAATCAGTAAAGAAAACTTAAAAGCAAAACTTGCACGGCTTTTCAGTTGAACTCATTCCCTCATCAGCCATTCATTGAATCAGTTCACCAGTTCTTTTCCTGAAGTCAAGAAAAAGAAAACCTAGAGTCTGAAGACCTGGATTTAAGTTCTAACTGTGCCATTTAAAGCTGCTTAAATTTTGAGATTGCCTTGGGGTCTATAGGATGGTATTATGCTTGAATGAGGTGGATCAGCATCATTCTGTTCTGCAGAAGTACCCTTTCCGTGTAAGTATAACAACTTATAAAGGTTTCCTCCTGATTATGAATTAATTCATGTATATGATTGAAAGCTGTGGGAAGAGAGAATGATAAATGAGTTAAAATACAAATGGAGAACGTATATTTTACTTGGAATAATTTCATACCTATAGAAACCTAGTGTTGTGGCACTAGGGAGCCTGAGGCAGGAGGATCTTGAGGTTAAGGCCAGCCTGGGTTACATAGTGAAACTATTTATTTGTGGTACTCTGGTTTGGATTCAGGACTTCGTGCTTTGTGAGGCGTGCAGTCTACTACTTGAACCAGACATGAAACTCTTTCTAAAAAAGGAAAAAAGGAAAGTTGTAAGAATAATACAAAGAACTCCCACATATGTTTTTCCCGGATTCCTTAATTGGTAGCATTTGACATTTGATTTTTTTGTTTTGTTTTTTTGGTGGGACTGGGGTTTGAACTCAGAGTTTCATGCTTGCAAAGCAGGCACTCTTATCGCTTCAGCCATGGCTCCAGTCCATTTTGCTGTGGTTATTTTGGAGATAGAGTCTCCTCACGAGCTATTTGCCCAGTATGGCCTCAAACTGCCATTCCCTTCCCGCCCCCATCTCAGCATTTAAGTAATTGGGATTACATGCGTGAGCCACTGGTGCCCAGCCTGACCACTTGTTTTATTGTTCATTAAGAGAGAATTTTAAAGTATCAATTGAGTGTTTATAAAATATCAAGCATGCTTTAAAAGCCTTATCTCATGTAATCGTTACAACAACCTAATAACATAGGTACCATTGGTTAGAAAGACAAACTGAAGCTAAACCCAAGTGGCTCATGCCTGTAATCCTAGCCACTTGGGAGGCTGAGATTGGGAGGATCACTGTTCGAAGCCAGCCCAGACAAATAGTTCAAGAGACCCTATCTCCAAAATATATAGAACAAAATGGGCTGGAGGCATGGTTCAAGCAGTAGAGTATCTGCTTTGTGAGTGCCTGCTTTGTAAGCACAAATCCCTGAGTTGAAACCCCAGTTCCACCAAAATAAAAAGGAAAAGAAAGACAAACTGAGCTGGGTGTGATGCCCTTGCCTATAATCCCAGCGCTTAGAAGGCAGAGGCTAGAGGAATTTCAGTTTGAGACAGCCTGGGTTGCAGTATAGCAATATTGTGTTTTAAAGAAAAAAGAAAAAGGGAGGAAGGAAGGAGGGATGGAAGGAAAAACAGAAGGAAGACTGGGACTTAGGAGAGATCTCACAGCAGGTAAATGGCACTTAAACACAGGTTCCTGTTTCTCACCATCATAGTAGAGGCCTATATTCTAGTCCAAGTTTTGCTACTGAAAACTGTATAACAGTTAGCAGTTAACTGCAGTTTCCTTTCTGCTGATGGAACCCAGTGTCCCTGGTCCTGATTAGAAAGATAGGGTATCTTCAATGAAGTACCTGAGCCTTTTCTTTCTTTTTTCTTTTTTTTTTTTTGGTGTGACTGGAGTTTGAACTCAGAGCTTTATGCTTGTAAAGTAAGTACTCTACAGTTTGAGCCACACCTTCAGTCCATTTTGCTCCAGTTATTTTGGAGATGAGGGTTTCATGAAATATTTTTTCTGGACTGGCCTCTAACTGTGATCCTTATCTCAGCCTCCCAAATAGCTAGAATTATAGGTGTAAGCCACTGGCTATCATGAGATTTTAAACTAAATAAATCATTGTTTTGGTCTAGAGTAGGTGCTCAGTATAATTCACATAAGACAAAAATAATGACAAATTTGATAATGAAGCCATTGGTGAAGTGAGAATGTACTCCTTTTTTCCATGGTACAGCTGTAGTTTATTGATGTTTTGTTATGCAAGACTCTTGACCTTCCTTTTGGCAGTATACAAGGTCCTGTACATACTGCTTCTAGGAGACCAGGGAAGGTGATAGTGAGGTTTAGTCTATAGATCGCTTCTACTTTCTTTGGAATTGAATTGAATATTTACCTCTCTGCTTTATTTTTCTCAGAGGGATCCCTTGGTTTTGATGGGAAAAGATTTTTTAGAACCATGAACCACGATTATAAATTGGCATCTCATGGGTCATATGTTGCTGGCAAATGTGTTTCTGGCTCATTTAATATTTAATTTTTTTTTCGTTAGTAGCCAGTATTCAGAAGCCAGAGTATTTCACATAATAACCCAAATTCTGGTTTTCTGGAATCTGGGCTGACATAGAGCATTTGACTAGAACTGGAGAGTAATAGCCAATTTGCTACCATCCCTACCGCCTACTTTATACCTACCCTCTGTAAGACACTCGAATTTTCAGCACCAGACCTAGAGCTTGAACTCCAGTTTTAAAGCAGGTGAAGTACAATTTGATGAGCTAGTAGGTTAAAAAAGAAAAGAAAAGAAAAAGCTCATAAATAAGATCAGAGATTTCTCCAAAATCACTATTATCCAAACTGTTCCTGTCAGAGTTTCATTTCCAAAATTATGGACCAGTTGCTTTCAGATCCCAGAAAGCTGCAGGCATCTCCCTCTGTATTCTGAATTCACAGAATACAGTTTGAATTGTTTCATTTCTTGCACACAAGCATCACTGCCAGCAGAGGGTGCTGACTGCTCACCAAGTCTGCTGTCCTCTTGGCTCAGCTGAGCCACAGCTGTTGGGCATGTGCCCTGGGTCTATGTGAGAGTTTGGGCATGTCCATTTGGTTCCCATCCCCTGTGCCCACCCCTTTAGACCCTGGCCAGGTTATTGTGTCACTGGGGACTCTGTTCAGTAACAGGAAACTGGGGAAAGTTTAATTGTTTTCTCCTCTCCCTTTTTCCCATGCAGCTGAACAAAAGGTTCATCCTCAGTTTTCTCCATGCCCATGGGAAGCTGTTTACCCGGATTGGGTAAGTGTGCAGGATGTTTATTTTATTTTCCTACATTACAAGTCATTTTGGAATTTAATATTGTTAGCAACTAGACTGTGTTTGTAACTGAGGGCACAGGGTGTGAATTCTTAGAGGTCTCCACCTTCCCTTCATTCTCTCTCCTACTGTGCTCATGAGGTTTGAGAAATATTACTCTGTACCTCTTTTTTTTTTCCCTTTACTAGAACCCCCCATTTCAAGGGCAGTCTGTTCACCAGTCCCCTCTTAGAGACCCCCTTAGTTTCTGTTTCCTTTGCTTTCGGACTCAGCTCCTAGTAAGTGACTTGATGCAGTCATGATACACCCCTTGGTGCAATTGCCAGGGGTCCTCCTTGGTGGAAAAACTAATTTTCCCTGAAAGATGAAGAACATTTTCTTTACTCCATCTCTTTCTGACCCATACCCCTTCCTTCTGTGCTCAGTTTCCTATGCTGTTATTGCTGGTTTCAGTAAATACCAAGAGTGTTCCATGGTTTCACCATCCACTATGAATTTATATATAAAAACCAGGGAAAATAGTATATGGAAAGCCTTATTACTTCACCTTGTAAGTTGCTGAAAAGAGATTTGAGTTTTGAGTATTTCTTTGGTGGCTCAAGGAGTTCTTCCTCACAGCATAAACTCATGATCCTGCCTTCACATCAAAGCAGACGTATGCTGAGAGCCTCTAGTGTAGGACCTCCCTGGGTATAGGACAATGAAGAGAGGAAGAGGTGACAGTGCTCTGAGATAGGTCTTCTACTGAGTATTTTTTTTTTTTTTTAGTGGGACTGGGGTTTTGAACTCAGGACTTCACACTTGCAAAGCAAGTGCCATACTGCTGGAGCCACACCTCCAGTCAATTTTGCTCTGGTTATTTTGGAGATAGGGAGTCTTACAAAGTATTTGCCCAGGCTGGTCTCAAATCATGATCCTCCCGATCTTGGCCTTCCAAGTAGCCAGGGTTACAGGTATGAACCACCAATGTCCCACTCTGCTGGAGTTTTTTGTTTGTTGTTCTGTTCTTTTGGTGTGGGGGGGCAGTGGTGAGGTTTGAACTCAGAGCCTCATACTTGCTAGGCAGTGCTCTACCACTTGAGCCATTCCCCTGGCAGTTTGTTTTTGGTGGTGTCTTACTATGTAACCCGGGCTGGCCTTGAATTCATGATCCTTGAGCCTCAGCCTTCAAAGTGCTGGGATTACAGGCGTGTACTACCACACCTGACTTTCTGTTGAATTTTGGTCTTTTCTGAGTTGGAGGTTCTATTGTGAGCTACACTTTGAGGTGATTTGGTTTAGATTAGAAACCCTCCAGTTGTAGTGCTTCCCTTTCACTTTCTGTCATAAACATGTTAGCTTATTTGTAATGCTGGGAGGTTTCCTTAGTGGGAGGGAGAAGCTATGTCAGTTTCCACATAACTTCTGTATTTAACACTTAGGGGCTTTTTTTTTCCTCCTTTTTTTCAGTACTGAGGTTTGAACTTAGGGCCTTGAGCTTGCTAGGTAGGCACTCTACCACTTGCTTCATACTCCCAGCCTTTGTATTTAACTCTTTTGAGAAGCTGAAAGACTTTGTCCTGCTTGAAGAAATGCTGATTCTGGAATGGTGAAGTAGAAACTGTGCTCAGGAAATATGCGTTTGGCATCAGCCTGAGCAAGAGTGGCAGAATGGCCATTTCAAGGGTAGTTTTGATTCTGAAGTGACATGGGGAAATTGGGGAGGTGCCCAGAGATGAATCTATCAGTAGAAATAAGTATGAAGTAATTCACTTAGGAAAAATAGCTAGATTCATCAGTAGCTTCCATCCCTCTCCCCATACCACCACTACCAACGAAAGCTCTATTCTGGCAGGAGGTTTTATAGTTTTAAATTTTTCTTTCTTTTTTTTTTTTTTGAGACAGGCTTTTACCACATAGCCCAGGCTGGCCAGGAACTCACTATATAGACCAAACTGGCCTTGAACTTGCAATCCAGGAATTTTTGACTAAAGCTGTTGCATCCTGAATGCCCTGTATATATAGTAGGCACTTGGTTAATATTTGTTGTATGAATGAGTAAATCATTACAAGAAATGGATAGATTGTGAAAGATCAGAAAGAAAAGATCTGGTATTTTAGTAGATTATAGTAGACTTGGGTCTAGTGACCACTCACTAGTGAATGATGTAAAACTGCAGTTATGAGGTAGATAAGATAGTCAGTGTTAGCCTATAAAATTGCCCATCATAGCAGGAAATACTACTGTGCTGCATTTAAAATAACATTGATAGTGTTTTTGTGCCTTATCTCTCTATTTTTTAGTTCTCATTTTTCATCTTTCTTTCCCCGCTGCCTTTCACTGAATATTTTCTCTTTTTCACTTTCTATGTTTGTTCTTTAGATTTTGCTGTTCTTTAGATTTTCATGTTGCTCTAAGTCAAGGTTTCTCAACCTCAGCACTGTTGGCGTGTTAAGCTGGATAATTCTTTGTTGTAAGTGGCTGCCGTATGCGTTGGAGGATGCTTTACGGTATCCTGGCTCCTTTCCACTATAATAAACCAGTAGCATACCATACCCCCCCACCCCGCCAAGTTGTGATGATGAAAAATGTCTTCAGACATGCCAAATGTTCTTTGGGGGGCAGAATTGCCCCTCATTGAGAACCGCTGTTTTAGATGTTTCTTGTTCTGTTAGTGACTTTTGGTAGTGAGAAAATTATAAATCTTATTTTAGTTTGTTGACATACTTATTTTTATTAGGCTAAGTGTTAATTATACCTTTATTTCCTACTTCTTAAAATTCTCATTTAAATACAGATATTTTGGAAGAAGTTTGGGAAAGGACCACAATAATGATTAAGAAGTTGGGAAATTAGAACTGGAAGAGAAAATTAATCTTAAAAAACAAATATGAAAAAACAAAAAACCCACTAAAGTTAAGCCGAGTGCTGGTGGCTCATGCTGGTAATCTTGGCTACTCGGAGGCAGAGATCAGGAGGATTGCGTTTGAGGCTAGCCTGGGCAAATAGTTCTCAAAACCTTATCACAAAAATAACCAACAAAAAAGATCTGGTGGAGTGGCTCAAGTGGTAGAGTGAATGCCTAGCAAGCATGAGGCCTTGAGTTCAAACCCCATTGTCACAAAAACAAACAAACCTGTAGTTAAAAAAATTGTAGACGCTGGATGCTGGTGGCTAACACCTATAATCCTAGTTACTCAGGAGTCAGGAATCAGGAGGATCGTGGTTCGAAGCCACATGGTTCTTGAAACCCTATCTCAAAACCTGTCACAAAAAAGGGCTGGTAGAGTGGCTCATGGTGTAGGCCCTGAGTTCAAACCCCAGTACCACAAAATAAATAAATAAATAAATAAATAAATAAATAAATAAATAAACAAACAAACAAACAAACAGAATCCCTGGGTTGGGGCTGGGCACAATGGCTTACATCTGTAATCCTACTTACTTGGGAAGGCTCAAACCCCAATACTTAAAAAAAAATTTTTGTTTAGAAACAGCTGTAGGGTGCCCTAACTGTATTTAAATATAAGAGTCATGATCAGTAAAAGAAATAGACTTGTGGTGCACTTGGAGATGTGGATTAGGTATAAAATATTTCAGAATGGAGATGTTTCAGAAGTTTCTTCCTTGGAAACCTTTAAAAAGGAATAAATTATCTCATTTCTTAAATAGTTTACTGTGGTCAAGGTTATTTTTCAAGATCTCTTCCATTCTTCCAATATAACATATAATCCGTTGTCAGAAAGACAGTCCAAGGCTTGGGAGAAATGACCCAAGCCTTGTATGCACATATGAATAATAAATAAAAAAGAAAAAAAGAAAGTCCAGTTTCACCTTCGCAAAGGATGGCAGTTTTCAATGAGGAAAATGTGTATCAATTCTAGGTATACTTCAGCTCCTAAATGAGTATTCCTTTTACACTGTCCTGAAGGTGAAAGGGAATTGAGCCCCAAGTTTATTCAGCAAGGCAGAAATAGCAATAATATTCCTGTTGTTAAAACAGGAAAAAGGAGTTCAAGCCCTAGTACTGCCTTTCCCACCACCCTTCAAAAAAAGAAAAAGCATAGAAGTCTATAAAAGTAGAAAAGCAGTGAGTCTAAGCTATACATACCATGGACTGTTGCCTAATTACCAAGATGTGAAATGTGGGAGGCGTTGAAAACGAGTTAAGACTGAGAGCAGCTGAAGGCACATCATTGTCCCGCCTGCCCTTGGAGAAGAGCCCTGACAAAAGTCTGTATTTTCTGTTCATAGCTTTCCATGTTACACCAACATATACTTGAATACCTACTGTGCACCAGGCAAGTCTGCTTCCTGTCAGTGTCAGCTGCAAACAGGTTCACAGCTTTAATGAGATTAAGTGCCAAAAAAGAGTTTGTTTTCCACCGCTCACTACTTAACACCTCAAGAGTAAACAAGTCAAAGCTTCTGAGAGCTTCAGTTTCTTTAATGGTGGCTTAAATAGATGATCTCTGCTGAGGTCCATTCTAGTCCTTAAGTCCTGTAGCACTATGATGTTTTCTCTTACTTCATGCCCATGGCTTAGGTTTATTGTTGTTCCTAGGTTGCTCCTGTATTGCTCAGGGTTTTTTTTTTTTGTTTTTGTTTTTGTTTTTTTTAATTAAGTAATTGAGATAAGTTAGGAAGTCTGATTCTTTTCTGCAGAGAACGTTGTCTAGCCCAGCTGTGTTCCTCAGCATCTGAGGGTTTGGGTCCTGCCCTGTTAGTCACTGTCTGAGTCATACTGGAGTCTGGGTCCCAGCGTTGTCTGAAAGATTGGTTTCTTGAAACTGCCATTCAAATGAGACAAGGTGCCTCTAGAGATCCCTTCACAAGACAGCCACTTAAGTCAGTGAAATGCATATCCTGAAAATGATTGTATCTTCTGAGGTTTTAAAGAATAGGGATGGAGTGCTCTTGGACTCAGGAAGAGAGATCAGTTAGGGTTGGCGGGTCGCTCCTGATAGGCAAATGCTTTCCTGGTGAGAGGCACATCAGACCTGCACTTGGCCTCCATGAGAAGTTGGGAAGCTGGCAGCCTGTAGACTCTTGATTTGTGACAAATGGAATAATTTTGTTTCCCGTTACTGCTTTGGTTAAAGTTACTACTTTAGTTTTTACTTGCTTGTGTGCATAACTTCAAGGTCTCTTGGAATTCAAAGACTGATATATTTTTTGGACTTTGAATTTTTAAAAATATAGTGTTTGTATCTTGATTTATTTTTAAAATTAATAATTTTTTAAATACTAATGTAAGATAATCATTGCTGAGGAAATCTTTTTTCCTTACTATACAGTGCTCATTGTAAAATGTTTAGAAAACTTAGCAAAAAGAAATAAAAAGTTACTCATGTTCTTGCTACCCAGAGATAACCAACTTTAACATTTGTTACATATTTTGGGGATCTTTTTTTTCTGTATATCACACACACGCTTTTTTTTTTTTTTTTAAAGATAGGGTCTTGCTATGTAGCCCAGTCTGTCCCTGAACACTCAATCCTCCTGTCTCAGCCTTCCCAAGTGTGAAACAGCAGACATGCTTTACCACTTCCAGCTATACTTAACTTTTTATAGTATGTATACAAAATGATCACTTTAAACTGATTTAAAAGTATTTTCATTTAAAGCATGTTGAAGTTTTCCCCACATGATTACAAAATATAATGCAGCCTTTAAGAAATTGTATTTTATGGGGGGAGGAGGGATAAAGGAGAATGATGGAGGGGGTAAATTCAACTATGACTTATTGTAAGAACATTTGTAAATGTCACAGTGTACTGTAATAATAATAATAAAAGAAACAGTAGTTTACATGGATGTGCATCTAAGGTTGCTTCCAATTTTTTGCTATTATAAATCACCATCTTCTGATGCTTTTTCTGTCTTCTATCTCTATTGTTACTGCTTCTGCAGTTTCTTATTCTTGGTTTAAGTTTTATAATTATTACATAAATAATATCAAAAAATCCTCATAACATTAACATTATAGCTAAGGCTAAAATTTCTTTGAATGCCTGTGCCCAAAGAAATAACCACTGGACATTGGGTTATGTATCAGACTGCTTTTGCATACTCATATGTATGTCCTAAACACGACTTATATACCATCATCCTCAGTTTTTATACAGTTTCTCTCTGTAATATGTGGTGAAGCAAAGATTATTTCTCAAAGAGAAAGATATAAAACTACCCACAGGTAGTTGGAGGCCAGTATCAGACAGGATTTTGGTTACAAAACTGGGAACCAGAATCTTCATTGTTGAGCCCTAAGTAGGAGATCTGTCTGTGTTTCCTTCAGTTATTGCTTAATAAAGCTGATTTTGTCAGGATCCGTCTTCCTCTCATAGCTCATGTGTGAGGTTACTCTACACATTTGGGTTTTTGTTTGTTTAGTTGGCTGGTTTTGTTTTAATCATTTTGTGCTGTGGTCTAAAGGCAAAGGGAATCAAAAATGATAAAATAAAATAATATTAAAAAAAGGCAAAAGGAAGGTTTTTTTTAGAAGTTAAAAAAAATAATAATGTTGAGAACATTTGACCTGTGCTCCTTTGAGACTTTAGTCTAACCCAGGAAGTGTTAATGGATCTGTTTCAATTCCCACCCCAGGAAAGAGGCTTCCTCAGGCAGGGCTTCGAATCAAGACTGTCCCACGTGATGCTTCTGTCCTGTTGTTCTGTGCTGGCTCTTTCCTACCTTTCAACACAGAGACATATGGCTCTGAAACTTGCCCAGTGTGGCTGAATTTCAAGCAGAGTGAACTCTGTTCTTCTCGTAATGAGAATTGCTAGCCCCCTTCCCCCCTTCCCACCTCTGACCAGAGAGAGTGCTGCACAGTGTCAGGATTTAAAATGAAACCTTTGTTGTAGCCCATGGGGAAAAATGGATCCAGTCCAGCCCCAAATGTATCACTCTCTACCATTCCAAATCTACCAAGAAGTTTGGCGGCTCCGAAACTTTTCAGAGGGAAAAAAAGTTTTGTCTTGTTTTGTTTTGGGGAGGCACTTGCAATGGCATGTGGGGAAAAAAAGCAAATGCATGGCATGTTTTGTGCCAATGAAAATGAGGACAGCTCAGCAGAGAAGGAAACTGGAATGTAAACTGTAATTGACCCATAGCTGTGGCATGACTTCTGGGCACCAGAAGGTCAGTAATAGGGGTTACCATTCAACGGCAAGGAATGAAGACTGCCAAGATTCCATTAAGTTCTAGGGCTTTCTGATCTGGAGAGGGTACTATTCATTGAGGAAAGGCCAAGGTTGAGGTGAAACTAGGAGCACCTTTCTCTAAAACTTGCTTCCCTGTGACTTTCCAGAAGCTATTTATTAATCCAGCCTAGAGCTGTTCACCACCCCACCCCTCAGTGTACCACAAGCAGTTTGTTTGATTGAGGGTATGAGGGTGGATAAAAGATGCTTTGCTGACCACGAATTGTTCAGCATGGCCCTAAGGCCCATGTGCCTGGTTTCTCTCTCTCGCACCAAGTTTGAGTTTGCTTTTTATTTCAGAGGACTTCAGCTGTGGTTTGTTCTTGTTGCCAAAGGAGCTCCAGGCATGCACCGCTGTTTAGGATCCAGTGGCCACATTTGGCAAGCAGTATTTTGAATGACCTCTCCTTAGGAACCCTAGGTCACTGGTTGGATATTTGCCTTCCTACATTACAGGCTCTTCCTGTATTGGGAGTGGCAGTTGGCCAGGGCATTATATTTCCACTGGCCTGAAAACATACAGACCCTGATGAGCAGAGGCTTGTGAGGAGGAGGGCGGCCGCATAGGAAAGGCTGAAACAAATCATTGGGGTCCTAGGTCTCTGGATTCTTCAAGCGGAAATTGGGGATCCTTAGGTGGGGCAGTTAGTGTGATATGTAAGAAGACAACAGCAGAGCTCTGTTTGGTTTCTTTTCTTTTTCCTCTTCTTCTTTTTTCTTTTCCACAAGGGCTTGCTATTTAGCCTGGGCTGGCCTCAAACTCATGATCCTTCTGCCTCACCCTCCCAAGTACTGGGATTACAGGTGTGTACCACCACACCCAGCTCCTATGACTGGTTTCTTTTTTTTTTCTTTTACTCATATATGCATACAATGTTTGGGTCATTTCTTCCCCCTTCTCTCTTCTTCCACCCCCTCCTTTACCCCCTCCCGCCCCCTCCCTCTCCCTCCCTACCCCCTCTATGAATGGTTTCTTGAAGTAAATCTTTTTTTGTTTTGTTTTTTTTTGGCAGTCCTGGAGCTTGAACTCGGAGACTCCACCTTGAGCCACTCCATCAGCCCCCTTTTTTTTTTCCGAGTTAAGGTCCCTGGAACTATTTGCCGGGTTGGCTTTAAACTGTAATCTTCCTGATCTCTGCCTCCTCAGTAGCTAGGATTATAGGTGTGAGCCACTGGTGCCTGGCTTGAAGTAAATCTTTAAGAATCTTTATAGCTTCATGGGACTTCTTTTATAGAGCATAGTTTTCTTTTTTCTTTTTTTTTTTTATGGTGCTGGTTTTTTTGTTTTGTTTTGTTTTTTATTCTTTTGGTATTGGGGTTTGAACTTAGGGCTTTGTGCTTGCTAGGCAGATGCTCTGCCACTTGAGCCATGCCCCCAGCCCTTTTTTGATGTAGTTATTTTTGGATAAGGTCTTGTGTTTTTGCTTGGGACCATTCTTAGACCACGATCCTCCTACCTACCTGTAATTCCCACATAGCTGGAATTACAGGCTATGCACCACCATGTCCTGCTTGTTTGTTGAGATTTGGTCTCTACTAATTTTTTTTGCCTATGCTGGCCTTAAACTGTGATCCTCTGGATTTTCACCACCTGAGTAGCTGCCAGGTGTATGCTGCCATGCCTGACTTAGAATATAATTCTCTTATCAGAGAGTTTGGGGACTGTGTATGTGTTACAGCCTAAAGTAGATTTGTTTACTGTTTAGAAAAACTGATTATTTCAGTGAGAAACTTTTATGTCAACTCGAATCCAGTTGTTGCCAAGGATTAGGAAATAGCATACCAAAGCATAATAACGCATAGTGATTTACCCAAGAATTGAGTTATTTTCATCTCTCAACCCTGACCACTTTATTCCTTTTTCTTAAATCTGTACAGAATTGCTTGATACCAGGAAGGTTTGTGAAAGAAGTGTCCTAGGCATTAGTTGTCTGCTTTTGGAGTGGGGGGATAGTTTCTTCAAGTGCTCTCAGAAATGTGCCTCACTAATGGACCCCTGTTTCTGCAGGATGGAGACATTCCCTGCAGTGTCTGAGAAGGTCCTCAAGGAGTTCCAGGTGTTGCTGCAACATAGCCCGTCTCCTATTGGAAGTACCCGTATGCTGCAGCTTATGACCATCAATATGTTTGCTGTACATAACTCCCAGTTGAAAGGTAAGGAGCATTGAGTTACTTCATCTAGATAGAGGTCAGTCTAGCTTCTTTCCTGTGCTACCTTATTACCCACCTGCCCTCAGACATACACACACTGCTTTTTCCACCATTGCCTTTCACATCTTAGTTTACTCTCTGAAATCTGTAAGACTCTCAAGTGCTTGGGTGGGATGAAAGGGAAGAATCATGAGTTTAATTTGCAAACCTAGAGATGCTATTACACATCTGGCCATGCTAAAGGCAGCAACAAGGCTTCTTGGAGGCTGCAGATCCAGAGCCTCTCCCAAGGGAGAGGCATTGCTGAAATGTTTCACTGCAGAGACCATACGTTTGGCAAGGATTGGGAATGGCTGTTTTGGACTCGTGTACCCTGTTTGTTCAATATGGAAAAGTCTAGTTCCCTATGGGATATCCCTTGTGGGAGCCTGCCAGAGAGTAAGAACAGAGAATTGATGAGCTTTGGTGTCTCAAATCTGGAAGCACAAAACCCACCAGGCCCAGAGTTTGGCTAATGTACTGGTATACATTCTGAAGTGCTTTTCTGAATACTCTTTGAGGGTTTTTTTTGATATGGGGTTGAGGAGTGGAGGAAAGAAGGGCAGTTGGGCATGGTTTTTAAATGTCCTGATAACCAGGCCATAGCCAAAGGATATTACCAGGATCCTTTCCCTTCCTTCCATCTCACATAGGTAAGGATGATGTGGTTTGACTTGATGGAAATATGTAGTGTGAGGGTGACATTATTTTGTGTGTTTCTTTGCAACATTTGGTTTATGCTGCCAAGGAATCATTTTGGAGCATTGACAGAGAGTGTTTGATCTCAGGGCTAGAAGGTTATTATCTGTAGTGTCAGGCAGTGGGAATTGTCCCATGAAGACTCTGTTATAAAACAGATCTGGTATTTCTGGACAGAATGCCCTGGCTCTCTTGTACCTTTTCTTAGAGCTTTCTCCCACTCTGAAATTCATTTATTTCCCTTCCTATTTTTATTTGGGGGTTATGTTCAACTTGCTGGTAGTGAGGAATTTCTTCCCCGTGAGTGGATATACCACACTTTCTCTGGAAATAGGGTTCCTCCTGGGATTTGGGGAGGTCCTTAACAAGTCACCTGGGTTTTCAATCACAAATGAATCCTGGAGGACTTCTTCTCTCAAGCTGCCTGCCATAGCATTTAGAATTCCCAGCAGATGGCAAGATGCAGCGGTTTAGGAGCCCTTTTGAACTTGGCTAATTATTCCTAAGGTGGCTATTTGTTTAAATGGATCTGTGAGGAGGCATGAGGTCCTGAGGGGTAGTGCTGGTTTCTAGGAAGGAGGATATTAAGCTTGGAAAGTGCTGTCCTGGTAAGGCTGGGAAGTCCAAAGGGAGGGGAGATTCTGCTACCAAAAAGGAAGCTCACTGGCCTCTGGAAGTGGGGCCTCCAGAGTTGTCCTACTTATTTTCCTGTCTTCTACTAAAACATCTCACCAGTTTAGTGAGCAATCTGTCAACAGAGCTGCAGCATATTGTTCAGCATTGGATGACCCATGACCTCTGTAGGTGTGAATGTAAAGGGCCTGTAGCTCTTGCCTGCAAAGCATCTGTTTTCAGTGGCTTCTGCTCCTCAGAAAAGGAATAACCTGGTCTTTTCATAGGCCACTAGTGAGTCCTTTTCTTGTAGCTGTTGTTAAATAAAGGTTAAGAAAATACGGGTGGAAGTAAGGTGAGTACAAAGAAAGAAGGAAATAGGTGGTTCCCCCATTTGAAGCCAAGGTATTTTTCCTAGAACTTTTCCATGGTTAGTCATAAGGAGTACCCTCTAGCCAGGAATGACATGTAAAAGCCTGTCCTAGGACCTTACTCTTCATTACTGTTCTTGCTCCAACTCTCACCTCCATGAGGCAAGAGGAGCCTGAACTGAGGTTGTTGGTCACAGGCTGTAAGGGTGGTTCAGGGAAAAACAGCCCAGGCCACAGGATATAACATTCAAGTAGGACACAGAGCTCTGTGGATGTGCTGCCAAGTACCTGGTGTGCAGCTGAGGCGGCTGTCCAGACCCCACTGTGTGGGTTGCCATTGGGAGAGGGGTGAACAGAGCACTCAGCAGGACTGGTTGGTGGGAAGATGCACTTTTCCATTTCCCAGCATATGAGTCATCTTCTCTGGGCCCCTGTGCTGTGCTTGCATGGACAGTGGCAAGAAGGGGGTGTTGTGGCTGAGAAGCAGCATCTGTGCCGGGGGTGGAGAGGGAAGAGGGTTGGGGAAAGGGTAAAGATTTAAATCCTTTACTAATCAGCAGCAGTTTGAATCACATTTTTATGAGTAAGGAAGTGATAAATCAGCCCTGTATGTTCAGTCCCCAAATCCTGTCAGCTGGTGCCCTTCTAAAGGTTTCTCTCTGGGCCAGTCTGCATGCTGTCAGAGTCGCCACCCAGCCAAAGGTCCCTGGCTGTCTGAAACCAGGAAACAGGGCCTGATGCTGTCTGGCCCTCCCAGGTACTTGGGGTCTGTGGTGATTTGGCAGTTGCTGCAAGTTACAGAACATCTGGGCCATCATTTTTCTTCCCATTCCTTCTTGAATATGTCCTTCTGGGTGGGTGTTTATGCATGTCAGTTCCTGGATTCTGTGGAGGAGAGCATTCCAGCCTGAAGTAGAGCGATCTTGTGGCCCCAAAAGCAGCCCAGATCCTCTCAATCTGTGCCTGAGTCTTCATGGGACATAGATGTGGGGTCAAAAGTATGATTTGGAGAGCAATAGAGAAGTTCTTGCTTAAAAAATATGCCCTTTGCTGATGGCTGTAAATGCTATTATGAGTCATTTGTTCTTTATGTTCCTTGCTACCCTTATAATAACTAGCTTCTTTTTCCAGTATCAGTAGTCCGGGGATAGAAATATTGCTACTAACACTTTAGTCTGTGTAATTTTTCAGATATGCTTTCCTTTTGGACACTGGGCTATTTAAAAGCTTTGGAGCTGCAGAAGGCAAAATGAAGGGAAAAGCTGAGATGTTAGGGGAGAGAATGGAATCTCTAGGGTTAGGGTTTTCCTTAAAGCCAGATTTGCTTATGAAGCTAGAGGCTCTGAGGTTAGATTCACTTCCTTTTCCATCCACAGGGAAAAATAAGTTGAATTCTGTGACATGATTTAGCCAACTAAACTTTCAGGTCTTAGCAGTGATCTTAAAACTCATGGGTTCAGGATTGTTGGGTAGAAATAAAGGTCAGTCCACCATCATGTGCAAGATCCTACATAAGTGAAATTATAGAGTCTAGACTCCTAATACTCTACCCTGAGGTGGTTGGAAACACATAAATTTGAGGGATGGGGCAAGAGATGTTTGGGAGCCCCAGCATAGTGCCTGATATTTATTAGGCACTCAGTAATTATTGAATACATGGATGAGGAATGTCATAGCTCTGAGAAAGCTGTGTTCCTTACCTGGCCTATATCCAAAGCTGGTGGTGAGATAGGTAGTTCCCAGAGTGATATCACAATTGGTAATCTCTCTGTGGCATTCTGTGCCTGAGAGGAAAAAAGGCCTTCTCCACATGCCTCAGTATTTAACACTTCAGTAGCCATCTGATTGGCTGATGTGAGGTGAGGATGAACTGTTGGTCTAAACCACAAATACTCCAAAAATGTCAGTTTAAAAAAAGCTTAAAGAAATAATTTTAAGAAATAAAACTCTGTAATTTAAAGAACTAAAACTAGTTTCTTAAAGACAAATAATTGAAGCAACTTTTTGTGATAGGGTATCACTGAAATCCCTTTGCATTTCCCATCTGTGCCCAATTTGCTCCAATCTAGCCCTCCTTCTCCTTCTCTTCCCCCCTTCCTTTTTCTCCACCCCCTACCTTTAATGTGCTTTATAATATTTGGAATCAAAACCATCTCAGGCACACACTGTTTTATTTTACCGTATTATTGGATTATATTTTCTAGAAATTATTGGATGTTACTCATTGGTCACCACTGGAATAACTTCCCTTTTCTATACCTTGGCCTCTTCTTTTTCCTCTTCTACCAGTTCATAGAGTATGTCTCCATTTCATCCTTGCAGAAAAGCCCTGGTAGCAGCAAGAGGGCACCCAAGAGACACTTCTGTGTGTGCTATTGATGTTGCTTGCTCTGAGGGAATGTTTGGGGGCCAGAATTGAGGTAGAGCTAGACTGGCTTTCCTTTCATGATCATTTATTCTTGCTTTTTTTTTTTTTTTTTTTTTCTCTTGAGGCAGTGTCTAAACCAGGCTGGCCTTGAGCTGACTATCCTCCTGCCTCAGCCTCCCAAATGCTAGGGTTACGGGTGTGCAGCACCATGCCTGGCTTATGGTGTTAGTAGTCCTGAATTACAGGAGGTAGAGGGAATGCCACATGTGCATCTTAGGAGGGATAGAGAGTTACCACTATCTGTGTGGGACTAACAGAGCTTTAACACATAGGCATGGGATTCTTCATGGCATGCTTATAAATGGGAGTTGGCTCTAGTTGAGAAATTGACTTTACAACCAGAATTTGTCTTCTAGCATACAACAACCTAAGAGATCTTCAGAAAAGCAATTTGCCTAAGAAAAGCAAAATGTATGAAGCTTGTTAGAACAGTTGTACAGGATATCTACCTTTCATAAGGGGTTAGGGTTGAGTTTAGCTATATAAACTGTCCTTTTCATTCCTCCTCCTGTTTTCTCTGGTGGTAGAAATCCTGGGGCTCTTTGTCCATAAAGATCCATGAGAATATTTCTACAGATAATCAGTATTACAAAATCTTCACTTTCAGGAAGAGAGAGGGCCAGTGTGATCAACAAATTTTGTAAGAAATAGAGTGAAAGATCAGAATAGGTTAGACTTTGGAAGACAAGCTAGAGGAGATTGCATTCTTAAGTTTTGCTCTCTGTTCCTATGGGGGAGACATAACCGTCAACAGACTGCTTAGCACAGGCTTCATAGATCCCTGGAAAAGAAGAAAAAGTTAAAGAAGTCAGTATGTTAAGGAACCTACCTATCTTTCCAACTCTGAATTCCAG